GGATGACAACACTGAACGCAACGTCCTGGCAAGGGTTGTTGTGCCCTAGTTAAAACCAGCATGCTCAGCTACAGACTTGTGCCCCTTCTGAGAGCAGACACTGGCTTAGGCTGCCTAGGGCCATGCTCAAAAGCTCTTTCATTCCTGTAGAAATCTTCCTAGTCTCTTTAGTGACTTCTTGTTTAGACTGCACTCAGACATTTAAAAGGATAAGGTTGTAAAACATGTCGTAATATAGGGAAAAGGCAGAGTAAAAGCTATCTTAAAATCATTGCTTTTTAAAATAAGTTTTATTTGAACAAAGGCAAAGTAATGACAAGTTGTCTTCCTTGATGGTAGGACGAGCCGCTACAGCTGAAATCACATTTCCTTGAAGCATTTTTGCTGAGAACTACATGGGGTTATCACTATTGCCATGAAACTCTCAAAGTGTCTTTAAACTGACAGCATGGGTAGGGAAAGCTGGGAAGGAGACACCTTGGTTGTCATCCAGGATCCAAGCTCCTCTGCTTTGAGTCCTCTAAACCAGTCCTTTCTCTCTTGCCAAGGCTGTAGCAGAGGAATGAATTTAGTTTCTTCTTTTCTGTTTTGGACAGACCCGCAGTGTTAGCAGGAGCAGTGCTTGCACAAGGACGAGAACAACTTTTGGCTCTGAAAGCTGGTGGCCGGCATCCTGCCTTCCCAGTTTTCAAAACGATTTATTTTCTAAGCTTCAGTTCCACGAATGCCATTCCAAAAGTTCGCTGGCGGTGAGAGGCAGGCAGGGAGCGCGGACCGGCTTCCCTGGCCGCCGGAGCTGCCAGGGAGCTGTCCAGCACCGCGGCGGGACGGGTGGCGGCGGGGCCGGGGCGGCCACACCGGGAGGACGCCGGGATCGACCCCAGCCCTTTACACGGGCACCGCCGCTCCCCGCGGGGCCACCCACGCGCTTTCCCCCTTCCCCTTCGCCCAGCTCCACAGTGCAGGGTGGAGAGCGGAGCGCCCTTCCCACCCTACTAGCAGCCGGTGGCGGGGGGAGCGTAGGCTGCCGCCGGCCCGGCCCTCGGCCCGCCCCTCGGGAGCTGCCGGGGCGGTGCGGGCGGTGCCGGCATCCCCCCGGAGCGGGGCAGCGCGGCCGGCGGCGGCCGCGGCAAGCGGGGCCGGGCGCGACAGGAGGCGAGCGGCGCGGGGGAGGCGGCAGGAGGAGGAGGAGGGGGAAAGGGCTCCAAACAACACGTGATCCCCGCGGAGCAGCGAGGGAGCCGGGGGAGGGGAGAGCGGGGCGGGCGGCCGAGGCAGAGGAGGGCAGCAGCCGCCGCCGCTGCCACCGCCGCCGCTTTAAAGCCTCCCGGCGCAGCGCGGCGCGGCACCCGCGCTCCCGGCCCGGCGCGGCGAACCGCGGAGCGGGGTCTGTGCCGGCCCCGGCGCGGCGGCTCCGCCGCTGCCTTTCGCCCGCCCAGGGGCATCCGCGGCCATGCGAGGCGGCCGTCCCCGCAGCCGCCCAGCTCGGCGCTGCCCGCCGCGGCTGCCCGCCGCCCCGCGCTGAGCGCCGCCGCCGCCCCGCGGCACCATGTCCCGCCGCAAGATCTCGTCGGAGTCCTTCAGCTCGCTGGGCTCGGACTGCCCGGAGACGAGCCCCGAGGAGGAGGGCGAGTGTCCCCTGTCCCGCCTCTGCTGGAACGGCAGCCGCAGCCCCCCCGGCCCCGCCGACACCCCCTTCTCCGCCGCCGCCGCGGCCACCACCGGGGCGCGCCGCGCTCCGCGCCGCCGGCGGGTCAACCTGGACTCGCTGGGCGAGAGCATCCGCCGCCTGACGGCCCCCGCGGTGAGTGCCCCGCGCCCGGCCCCGGCCCGCCCGCTCCCCGCACAGACCCACGGCCACCCCGCGGGGTCGGCTCCCTGTCGGGAAGGAGGCGACGGTGCCCGCGCCCCCCACCCGGGCGGTCCCACCGGGCCGCTGGAGCTCGCTGCCTCTCTGTGCCCGCTTCGGCTGCCGGCTGCCAGCCCCGCAAAACCTGCGGGAGTACAGCTCCTGGCAGCCCGGTGCTGGAAATCGGGTCGGGAATCACGCTTAGGAGCAGCTGCCGCCTTGGCTGGGTTTATCATTTCTGCCGAGTCCCTTTCTGAATGAAAACAATATGGTAAAGTGCTTATCACAGGTCCTAGCAACATTTTTTTTTTGTAATATATAAAAAGTTACATCTCTGTGATGCATGGCGTGCACATTCTTCCTTCAGCATCGAGGGGATGCGAACTTACTTCATTTGTAGGGCTTCTGCGTACTGAATAGGGTAAAGCAAAGTTCTGGCTGTGTGTTCAGAAATATTTCAGCAACAGATTTCCCTGTGCCTCCTGGATGCGGAGACATTCCCGACAGATCAGTTTCTTTAAAGTGGACTTCGAAATCCATGACTTAACGATTATCGGGATAGCTACACCTGTAGCTGAGAGTCTGTGAACCATTGTCTGTGTGCTAAAATAAGGAGTGAATTCAGGTTGATCTGGTAACATATGGTATATCAGTTTGTAAGACTGAAATCCATGTCTCAGGAGTTCTGGTAGATCAGTGTAAAATAGAAGGTTTTTCTACAGCCTTTCTGTTGCAATTGTGCTACACTCCTGTACGTACCTCTGTGATCATCACTAAAATTTCCGCATAAAGTTTCAGCTGCAACTGAATGCTTGTTTGGTCTCCGGAACAGTTTAACGTATTAAGGCATAAAACCTTAATTGAAACAAGTAGTCTTAATCTGCAGGACAACTGTATCTGATATTGTGGCATTGGATCATCGTTTTGCATTATTGTTAGCCAGCTTTGGAAATTACTTACTAGTCTCACCACCATCAAACATCAGTTTGTGTTAATTTTAATATACCCTTTTGTGTTTGGTGTTTATTTAAGTGGCTGGATAGGAGTAGACAACCTGTTTAATGGGAGAAGGCAGTGCATTACATACCTAATAGTCGTCCAGTTTAAGTTAAGACTTTTCTTTCCCATTAATTTTTTTTCCCTCTCCACTGAGAATCTGGTCTTGTAATGCTGGTATTAATAGATGATATCTAAGGTGACCTGTCTTGTTTTAGTACAAAAAAAAAGCTATTTAATTTGATAATGATACAATGGTATAATTAGAGCATGTGTTACCCAAAATATTTGAAATATTCTGAAGTAGCTCAGTGCAGTATTTTTAGATAACCTTAGTATTTGTATTTCTCCAGCTTGCTATAAAAGACAATTTCAGTTTTACAGCTGTGGTGAATTGTCAAATGTGTTTTCAAAATAAACACATTCTTTGAATTAAGAGATGAGGAAAACTTTGATAGATCTAATAGTCTTCTTTCCTTCCTGCTCCCAGAAAAATTTTGTTTAAGAATACAAAAATTTCATCCAACCTGGTTTTGATGTCCCAAACAACAGCTTCCATGGTTTCTTTGGGACGTAATTATAGCAACCCTTATTGCCAAAAAACGATGTTATTTTTAAATTTTAATGTGATACACATTGCTTAAAATTTCCCTTTTTTTCTTGGCATTGTAACTACTGCTTCACTCCCATCTTACACATTTTGGCACAGATTAATGTCATTAAGTCTAAAAGGTCATGTCATAGTCCTGGTATAAGCAAAGAACCAGGTCTCCTGCCTTTTCATTTTTCACTCAGAGAAACTGCTGTTCAGACGCATTGTTATTTTGGTGCATTCTTACCAAGTTCTGGGGTACTGAATATGTGCCTTCATGCAACAAGTCTAGTTGCCATATGTCTGACACTTTGGATCTGATTATTTTTGCACATCTGCTGGTATAAATTAGGAATAACTTTAATTAGAAATAAAAAACATACTTTTCCTATGAAATTAGTGTCAAATGGGACTAATTTCTGTTGTTTGTAAAATTACAAGGCAAGTTTGAAAGGTGCATTGACAAATGTTCTTTCTAAACAAAAAGCTTTAATACTTTTTATAGATGTAGGTTGACCTTCATTCCATAATATTATAAATATGGATCTCTCTTAAGTATATAAACATATTTATGCACATACAAAAGTATATACTATATATCTAGCCTGCAAGGTTTAATGTTTTCTTTTTAAACATGAATGTAGAAGTAATTTGTCCCCATCCCAACAGTTGAAGGATGCTACAGGTTCCTGATGTTTATACTTAGCCTTAGTTTTGTGCTTGCCTTCAGCAATGTCAAGGATCAAAATCCTCAGTAAAATATTTTTTTTGTGCTTTCACTGAGGAAAAATTCTGTATGTGTGTTTAATACTACTGTGCCATGGAGGGAGGGCTCAATGTTGTTTCAATGTGGCAGTAGCGGGGGGCTACGGAGAGCTGCTCTGGGCATGTGGAGAGCTTTGAACAGAGCAGGAAAAAGCATCCAAGGGGCAAAAGAGCAGTGGGTACTCAAGAGGAGTGTCTGTGGGGCAGAAAAGCAAGAAGGCTGTGCAGGCAGGCTGCATCTTATGAGTGGTAGCACAAAACTGTGTATGAGAATATTAGTATCTTCTGTGCAATGCACTCATGAGTTAGTACAGCTGGACTGTACTAAGAGATTCTGTAGAATAAAGTGCAGCAATCAAGTATTTGTAAATACAGTTCAATACAATGAAAATAGGTTATTGCATTTTTTTATCACTTGTAATCTTGGTCTCAATTTTAGCTAAGTGTGACTTTGCACAAATACCACTTTTAGTGGAACCGTGGGAAAAAATTGTAAAGTGAACCTTGCTCTGTTGCAGCAAGGGGTGAATGCAACCCCTTCTACTTGCTACCACAGAACAACTTCTAGCACTTTCTAGCGCACATGATTTTGCTACTTTTCTCTTAAATTGATTTTTGGAGATTTTTTCTCCTGCAGTTGTTATACTAGAGGATGTAGGGACCTGATCCACAATCAGCACAGGTTCATTTTATGTTCCTGTGGGTTTGTAAATGTTTCCCAACATGCTTGGATGGGGATTGATACTGTTCATCTGGAACTTGCTTACTGCAAACCCTCTGTTTTATGACAGCCAGAACTAGGAGGCTGATAGGGCTCACCTTCCACCAAAACAGCTGAGTATTTTGAGGAAAAGTGTGTAGTGAGGAGACCTGCATACATACCCTTCCATTGGCTATGCTGGGGAAGGTCTGGGAAACAGGGTGCACTGGGCAGGGAGGCAGAGCAGCGGCAACTCAAGGAGAGGCAGCTTTTTGTCACAGCTGCACTCAACAGACTGTGCATGTACTGAACATCACATCAAGTTTCTGCCCTGCTGCCCCACCAAGCACCAAGTTTGCTGAGTAATCAGGTGCACTGACAACAGGAGGGTCAAGGCTCTGCCAGCAGCTGGGCACAGCCAGAAGCCCCAGCCCGTAGGGTGGGGGGAACCGTATCGAGCCAGGGCGATGCTTAGCACCAGAGTGTGAAGATGATTTGTGGGACCAAACTTGGCTGCTCAGTGCAATAAACCTCAGGTGTTGCACACAGCTCTTGTGACTCCTTCAGCTCAAGAGATCGTGGCCAACAGTGCTCCATGCATGTTGCCCCACGTTTGGCTCTGTCCTCTCACAGCCTTTCATCCCTGTGATGTTTCCACAAAGCTGAGCTCATAATTGTGAAGAAAGCTCCTATCCATTCTAAGGTGTTCCTAAACCATGTTTCTGACGAAGCACGGGTGTCCTCTGTCCTCCTTCATCTGAACCACTGTCAAAGGGTCTTTGGTTACACACTCTTAACAGGAAAATCTGGAGCTAGATCCAGCTGCTGTCAAAACACAGTTGCCCTTGTCACTGGACTGGGTTCAGTTTATTGGAGATAAATAATAAAATGTTGGGAACCTAATAGGGACGTTGATTTGCAACCTTGTTTTTAAGAAATAACTCAGTAATTATATGTATATCACTAGCAAATGTAATGATACATTTTACTTTTGATTCCAGCTTTGTTACTGTGTTCCATTTTAAAGGATGAATTTTACACCCACAATGACACAAATTTTGATTAATTATAACTGGAAAAGATGATACTATATGCTATTCATTATCAAAATAATTTTTTTCTGCCCTTAAGAACTCTGCTATATGGGAATGATATCCTGGCACCAGTTGACATAGCTTGATTCTTTAGAAATGCCATTTAGTATCTTACTGAATTCCAGTTCCTTGCAGCAATTTTAACATTTGCTCCAGTTCTATCTTGACTTGTATCCAATACCAGGCTGAAAATAGAACCAAAATCAGAAAAACATAATTTGTCACTGATTTGAAAAGTCAAATACTCTGCTCTCATCTAAGAGGCATGGACTATCCTAGAGGAGCTGGGAGTGACTGGGCATTCATTTAGAGGAGACTGTGTACCCCCAAGTGCTGTACTGATCTTTCTGGAATGAGAATTTCAGCATTACACAGCTTTAAACTGACTAACATCTACATTTGATTTCATTTTCTGAATGGTCTATGTAACGCATCTCTTGAACTGTGAATATTATTAAGTGAAAATCACCTCTGTTATACTTTTCTGTTCATCTAGAATTATTTCTGCTATTCTTTAAAGGCCCAGTTGAAGACACATTAAAGTAAGAACATTTTTTTCCTATTTAATTTAGGAAGCTGCTACTGGATGGAATTCAAGAATTGTCTTTTTGAATACGGCCTTCCTCCCAACAGTGGGAGAAGAGCGAACCTAAAGGCAGTCATCTGTGTTACTGTGTAGGCTATTACTTATGTCACAGAACTGCTGTAACTTCAAATTGCTTAGTGGCAAGTGAATCCTCCAGTGAGTGGAGGTGGGGTTTTGTCAGAGAAGTTACAATATAGCAGCTTATATCTAACCTGGCTCCAT